GAAATCACTTAGCAAGAAGAGTCTACACTAAGCCTCAAAAGAGAGTTGTTATCAAAGAAAGCGTATCAAGGATTGCCAAGCAAAAGACAACTATGAAACACAAGGTAACACTCAAGATACAACGAACACGATGATTCTGGAGAAACAAACAAGGATGGGCTAGAAGAAAAGGGGTTACCTGCCACTTCATCCTCCATCAAGCCTTCCGACTCAGCCTGAGAACGCGCCATCACCAAAACTCTTCTGGGTGGCCTAGCTCCGACAGCTCCGCGACCCGAACTCCCTCCTGGTGCTCCTCCGTCTCTCGCGGGTGGCGGCAACACTCTCTGACCGGCAAGCTGGGGACACTCTGCGACTTTGTGACCACGATCCCCGCATCGGAAACACCTAAACGCCTGGCCATAACAATCATGGTCCGCGTGCACCTTCCCACATCTTCGACAACCAACCGACTTAGCTTGATCCTGATGCTCCACCCTGATAGGTCCTTGAGAAGAAGATGACACAGCCTTGACTTGAAAACTCGGCCGGGGCTTCTTGAAGGTGGAAGAACCTCCGCTCTCAACCCTCTTCCTAACTAGCTCAAACGATCCTTTCTGAAGCTGCTGAACACGATACAGATCCGCGGCACACAGATACGCATCCTTACTGGAGCTGGGCCTACTCACCGTCAACGCTTTTCGTGCCTCATAATTCAGACCGGCAACGAAACGCTCAACATTAGCAAGCTCTGTAGGCACAAGCATCCTCGTGAAGCGCGCCAACTCTAAGAACTTCTTGTGGTATTCGATCACAGATAAGGATCCTTGCTGCAGATGAAGGAACTCATCAAACATGGCGGCTCGCACATGCGCTAGGTAGATCCTTTCGCGCATTCTGTCCTTGAGCGCGGTCCAATCAAACCCAGGCTCTTCAAGGAAGGTCGGACCTTCGTGGACCCACCACAGATCAGCTTCTTGGCAGAAGTAGAACGTTGCCAGTTCTACTCTTCTCTCTTCGGGGCAACCCACAACGATGAAGATCTTATCAAACACCCGTAGCCACTCTTCCAAGACTACCGGGTCTTCTTCTCCGGCGAAGGTTGGCGGCCGATGCCCCGACACCAAACGACCTACATCGCGACGCCCAGCAGGGGGAGGAGCCGGCACAGCTTGATTGTTGTTCAGCAAGGCTTCACTGAGCGTCTGCATCGTCTGCGTCAGCTGATGGAGATTCTGAGCGAGCTGCTCGTTGGTCAGGGTCTCCGGGGTGCGAGCGCGGGGACGAGGAGGCATCACAAACTTCTACATCAACAACGAGGTTACCAAAAAGAGCAAACAATCAAGACAGAAAGCAACACACAGCTCACCGTGCAACCTAGAGTCCTAAGCCTAACACTTAGCTTCTTAAGGTCGCTTAGATGTCTCAAAACACACTTAACCACTTAGAAAGTCTAGACTTAACCCTTCCTAGGCTCAAAACCAAGGCTCTGATACCAACTGTAACACCCCCCCCCCCAAACAAGACCTATATAAAAGCCTTAACACATGCAGATTAAACAACAAAACTAGCACAGCGGAAGATAAAACGAAACTGGATAAAAGAAATCCGAACGGGGTGTCACGCCACGTCTACCAAACACGGTAAACGCTACGGCAAACAATCTGCAAGTGTATATATCTATCCCAAAAACATCAGTCTAAAACTACATGGGCACACAGGCCACAAAACAAGGATGAGGGCACTAAGCTACCAGGCACTAGACATCGCGCTCGTCTAAACATCACCTGAAAGATACAAAGATAAACATTGGGACGACGCCCGGTCAGCGAATAATGCTGGTAACCCACAAATACCGTTAAGTATCATATATAGATAGATATAAGTCATAAAAACCATTTTCGAAACGGAATACATATATATAAGTCAAAACCAAGATCAACAGTCAACACAAGACTCATCACTCTCAAAGATAACACGGGAACACATCCCAAACCACAAAGGTTAACCACACGCAAAGGATAAAGACTCACCCAAAGGCAACACATGCCAAAGCAACACATGCCTCCGTGACTACACACGTCACGAGAGAAGAACACACAACGCCGGCTTTACAAGCCCTCGCAACATCACCCATCATGAGTTGGTATGCCTTCCTTATGCCCGGTTCCAACCTTATGGCTACCCCCAACCTTGTATCTTCTTTCCAACCATTACCTCCAGGACCCCTGTACTTCTTAGTCCAACCTTATTCTCCCGGGACCGTCATCCCCCACCAACAACCACCAACGAGACCACCAATTCACGGCAACACATGCCCGGATAACACATGTTATCCCCCAAAAACATGGACCCATCACTCAGGCCACAACTCCATAATCACGTCACGGCCACCACGAGGACCGCTGCCATACCTTGGTGACTAGTGTCCCATACCACTAATCGTGCAATCCAGGTAAAGCCACACACGCACCACAACTCAACAAGAGTCAAACAACGGATCACAACGAAGGTATGAAACATACTCAATCAAGGAGCGGGTCACAACCCAACAACAACAACGATGGATAACACAAGTTATCATCAATCAATCGGAAAGTACAAACAACACACATGCTAGCATTTAGGCATCAAACTAGCATGCTTATCAACGGGGAAACGAAAGATAGTTCTGAGGAACACACAAGACACTTCACGGTTCAACGAAACACAATGTTGAACACTTAGCACGATTCAAGACACCAAAGTCCTACATGGATACCTACCATATAGCTCTAGACATACGAAACATCAAGAAGACACTCAAATAGTTCCACAAAAGAACATCGGGAAGTCAAAAGACCAAATACCGAGTCAAACAAATCACGAACAAACTCCACTCGTGTACCCGCGGGTGGACCCACGGGTAGTGCCCCACCCATGGTTCTGCCCACGGGAACACATTCCCACAGGGCCTTGTACCCGCGGGTAGGGCGGCGGGTGGTGCCCCGCCCACGGGAACATTCCTGTTCCAAAACAAATCCCTTCGGGGATTTTCTTCTCCAAACACAAATTCAAGTCCAAAACATTGCAAATCTCACCCAACACAACAAAATGACTTGAATCATGGAAAATTCCAAGCAATGGCACAAAGGAACCCTAAACACAAGCTCTAGATATGCAATATCACAAGACAAATGCATAAACCCTCACATTTCATAGCAAAACACATGTAGAATCCAAGAAATCACATATAGGTAAGCAAAATAGGTTTTGTAGAGCATGGGTTACTTGTTGTAGACCAAAAGACTTCACTTTACACCACAACAAGCTCTCCACAAGGCTTACTTTCCAAACCCACTTCAAGATTAAACCAAAAGATCATAAAGATCCTACCTTTAAGAAAAAGACAACTAAGATGGAACCAAAAACACAAGATGAACTTAGATCTTACCCTCCTAAATGCCCAAATAGGTGAAAGGTTGAATCCTGGAAGCAAATCTTGGAATCTTAACAAGGGTCTCAACTTGGCTTGGAGAATAAGCTACACTTCTTTTCTAGAGAGAAGGTAGAACTAATTTCTAAGAATTGTAGGGAATGAAATGAAGAAGTCTTCTAGGTTAGGTTACAATACTAACTCTTGGTGAAAAGAAAAGAATACCCTTACTAACCCTTAGAAAGTGTAAGGAACAAGGGAACTCCCCTCAAAGCTCAAGGTACAACACAACTTTAAGGTTGACTAGTCAAATACTAGTCCTTGAGTATTAAAAAAAAATTCAGGATTTTAGGAATTAATTCCTCAAATAAAATAGGATTAATTAGTCAATTAATCCATTGATTGAATGTGGATTTTTGGGGTGTCACAAGCAGGGTTTCAGTGTTGAGTTGACAAACTAAAGTTCCGAGTCTCCGAGCTTAGCCGCTAGGCGAAGGGTAGACGGAAGAAGGTCTCCGAAAGCCCTCTTTCCAGCTGATGAGTACCGTATCTCTTATATTGAACACCAAATAATTTTTTTTTTTTTTGAGAAAAGGGTCAAATAGGCCCCTAAACTTTACCCCAAAGGTCAATTAGGTCCCTAAACTTTAAAAATGTTCAATTGAATATTCAAACATGTTAAATTGGGTCAATGAAGCCCAAAAACCGGTAAATAACCTGTTATTACAGGTCATTTCAATTCCGGCGACGAATTCCGACCACCGGCGACAATTTCCGGCTGTCCGGTCATCTTCCATTGGAGAAGACGACCGGACGGCCGGCGGCAGGCGGCCGTCTGCCGCCTTCTCCAGTGGAGAAAACGACCAGATGGCCATCTTTTCCATTGGAGAAGACGACCAGATCTGGTCGACTTCTCCACTGGAAAAGGCGGCAGACGAGAAGGCGGCCGTCCGGTCGTCTTCTCCGGTGGAAGACGATCGGACAGCCGAAAATTATCGCCGGTGGCCGGAATTCGTCGCCGAAATTGAAATGACCTGTAATAACAAGTCATTTACAGATTTTTGGGCTTCATTGATCCAATTTGACATGTTTGAGTGTTTAATTGAACCTTTAAAGTTTTGGGGCTTAATTGACTTTTGGGGTAAAGTTTAAGGGTCTATTTGACCCTTTTCTCTTTTTTATTTTTTATTTTTTATTTTTGAGTTATATCGAGTATCATTGTTACATTTATTTCTAATATAGCTATTCGTTCATTTTTTGTTATGCTTATGTCTGGATAAAACGAACCAATGCCTTTACTACATAAAATTTCATATTAGAGTGATATTGATTAATGAAAAAGATATGAATACCTTGAAAAAGAAAATATGAAAAAGATATGAACAATATCTCAAGTCATTAATGCATGGTTAAACTTTGCATAATCACATTAATGCCCCTCAAAATATATAAGTTTTCCCTCTAATCCTCGATATTTCTCAAAAAAAAAAAAAAAGAAATTAAAAAAGAAGAGAAAAAGACTAAGAGAATCAAGTGCCTGCATCACAATTCACAGTTTTGCTCGAGAAGACTTTATAAGCACACAGGCGCAAAACATCAGGTATATTAACAGTTTCCTTTCTCCATCTGTCCGATATCCAGAATCTCCGCCATTGATTAGCAATTTTACAGTACGAGGATTTTTCCTTTTTTTGTTTTTTCTCAATTCGTTGTTAATTAGTTTCAGATAGATCTTCTAATTCCATATCAATTTAATTAATTTGTCGTGTAAAAAAATTTAGCGTTCAAAGGCAACTTGTACTTGGGTTGAATCGATAAATTGGTAAATTGATGCGTATGCGACAAGGTCGATGTTTCATTGATCGTGTTCTTGGCCTTGTCGGCGATGTTTAAGCGGAAGGAGCGGACTGTTCTTGAGCTCTAAAATGTGACTTACACTCTTTCCGGACCCTAGGCATGTCTTATGTTCTTTTTCTCTCTTTTCCCCAATTCCAATCAAGGGTATCATCCCAATTAAGGATATATTTTGTTCTCCAGTTTTTTCTGGTGGCTTGTTGTTTTAATTTGTTTTCAAAGTTTTTATTTTCTGTGATCATTTTTTTCTTCTTATTGAAGTTTTGATATATTGGAAATCACAGTTTGAATCATGGCTATATGTGGAAAGTTCCAATCCTGATATGCTACTCTTATTTGATAGTGGATTATATCTTTAAGGCTTTAGTGGATATTAGGGTTTCTAAGTTGTGGCACTTCTCAATTCTGGTTTATCTGTTATGCCTAATATTTGCTAGGTAAGCGGTTGTATGTATAGAAATGAAGTGTGGTAACCAGAAATGCGTATGTAAATTTCTTTTACAATATTAGGGCATGCTGCATTTGGTGTTGCTAATCATGGCTCTTTTTAAATTCCATAGTATGCTAGGCTAGTCACATTTTGCCATGCTGAAGCCAGTGTGAAGTTTGTTTGGAACTATTCTCGTTCTGAGACATTGGCATTTCTGCTGTTTAGATAGCTGAATGGAATTTGTACTTCCAAAAATCGTTTTAAAAATCATAGGATGGTCCAGTTTGCCATGTAGTTCAATAAGTTTATCAGACTAACTAAAAATTCTCTTCTGAAAATATTCAAAAGACCCTTTTATAGTTAGACTTCTATCCGGGCAGTGAAAGTACCATCCCTTCCTATTTGTTTGTCCTGCTGAATAAAAAGTACATTACACCCCAAAGAGTTAAGTGGTTTTTGATTGAATCTCAGAGGCATTCTTATTGGTTTTTATTTATTTTGGCAGCAAACAATAAAATTATGCAGTGTTTTTAGATGATCCCAGACTTCAAGGAGTTCATCCCAAGCAAGGCCAGTTCTGAAGGTTTACTCCAAAGCAATACAGTGAAATAAAGTGTAATTATGTGCTACTGCTCTAGTTCTTTAATCTGTACTTCTCTCAGGCTCTCTTTGTGTGTGCTTTTTGTGAATAGATACAATGTAAAATTACTTCTAGAAAAAAGTTCTTTAGAGAATATTGACTCTGCAATCAATTGAAACAAACAAAAAAAACACCCTTCTTGTAATATCCAGACTTAAGTCTATGGTCTGGATTGTGCTACATCATCCCTACAAGATTTAAAGGTTGAATTTCAAACCCATTCTGGATATGCTAACTGCCTTTACCCATATGATATTAGTCTCTAATTTGATCCGTTCTTCTATCCCTGGTCTCTCCATTAATCAGCTTCACCTCATTATTTCTGTGTGACAGGCCATGTTGGCCGGGTCCTGTTAGCCTTTGTTTCTCTTTCCAGGTACCTAAAACTCCCTCTCTTATTTTCCTCTCCATCAGCCTCCATTGTTTCTCTCTGATTAAGATCTAAAACTTCATCTTTTGACCTTTGGAGCTTTGAAATTGAGACTTAATACAAAGGGAATACTTGCGACCTTTATATGGGGTTTCTTGATTTTTGGGTTTTGTTTTATCTTTTCTTTTAACTACAACTTGGTACTTTCACCTAGAAAATAGTGAACGAATAAAAAAAAATCGAAGAGTTAATTAGGAAGAGATATGATTTAGATTGTGTTCGTTGATTTTAGATTTTTAGTTTGAATTAATCTCCCCTTTTTTATTACAACCAGTCTACTTTCATAGTTGCTCTGGAAGAGAAGCATATGGACTACAGATTGATGGTGTTAGTTATGGCTTTTTACAATCATTAAATGGGGTTGGGGTTTTAACTCTTAAATCTTGTAAAGATGATGTTGTACAAAGGATGGTGTTGGCAAGCGCCTTTTACAATCATTATATGGGTTTTAGATTTTAACTTCTTGATCTTGTAAGGTGATGCAATGTAACCCAAACTTAAGTTTGGAGGAGTCTGGAGAGGTTCCATACCTGTTTTGGAGCACATTATAATTGAGCTCTTTATAGACTGATAAAGCGGATACATCTTGCCACATGCTTGATAGGATGTATCCCCACTAAATGGTTAGAAACTTAGACTTGCACCTTTCAAAATTACTTTGTATATTAATTGCTTCATGTTTGTTATGTTGTGTTATTGAATGTACCTCTTCAAGTATAAAACTAGACATAGGAATTTGTTATAATGAGACATACTAATTTCTTTTCCCTGTGACCTAAAAGTGTTATTGTTTTCGCAGCAGTTCTTTCCATTTTGTGTTTCTTATTATTTTATGCAGTGATGGAAGACGTTAAATCATTTCTAAGTATCCCATACCCACTGGTTTCCTTTTCCCAGGGCAGCAATTTGCAACATGACTGGCTTTCCCTCTCCTGTCTTGTTCTCTAAAATTTGCCTTTTGGTTTAGGTGTTGAGTCAAGTCAATAAGGTACCAAATAGGTGCTCTAATAGTCAGTATGTTGATGGAAGAGTAGTCTCTGTGGAATGTAAAGTTTGTCTGCATATTAATCATTCTACCATGGAGCTGAAAGTTGATGAATCATCTGGAGAAATCTGTGGTAATAATGCCATGTATTTCTCTGCCAATGATGTTTCATCTTCTAGCAAGAATGGAAAGGGTGAAGCATGGGGAAACTGTGAAACAAACAATTTAATCAGCATAAATTCAAGTTATGATTCTTCCTCGGCAAATTCAGAGCATAAGGTGTTGTGCGCAAGGACTTCTGATGTATCAGCTACATCGGATGGTACAGCTCCAACTCTGGAGGCCCCTAAAGCATTAGAAGAGTATGATGATAGTATACCATGTGCAATAAGAGGTGGGGAAGCCAATAAAATTTCCAAATTGAATGAGGAAGAGAGTATAAACCCACCATGTACAGTAAACCTGGCAGAGGAATCTATAAAACATCCAAAAGACCATCTTAATTTGGTAGTGAAAGATGAAGTGGCACCTGGCATTGGTGGTAACCCACCGGATGATGCTTGCATTACAGGAAAAAGTGAAGGCTTGGATAAGGTCATGCACTCTTCCGTCTTACCAGATATGCATGCAAATTCTTCAGAAACCCATGCGAATAATGGGAGTGACGACTCTGACATTGAGGAGCATGATGTGAGTAAGGATTATTAACCATTTATTTCAGCACATTATATATATGTATTTGTGTATATTTATATCTTTGAGTTTATTTTTCTGATGTGGGTTGTATCACATTTCAGTTTGGCTTTATAATACTTGCTTTAACATCAATCACTAGGACAGCTATCCTGTTAATCCTGTAACACACTGGTTTAGTAGCTAAATTTCTAAATCTGGCTTATGCCACGACAACCTTCCTACTGTATCACAGCATGAAACATTTCATAGGCACCCAAATCATTTTATATCTTGTAAAAGCCCATCTAAGCTCATAGAAGAAGGACCGACTATATCTTCAAATTCTTGGGACTGTCATACTTGTTCCTATTTCTCAGTTGCTTCTAAAGTTTTATCATTTGGACATTTCTTATGTGGGTGTTGTGGTTCTCTTCATATTACCCTCCCAATGGACAGTAGTGCTCTTTGGACAGTCTCCTGATGCATAGTCATTCACATTTCAAAAGGTTAAACAATTTTTTTTTCCCAATAAATAATATTTTATTTATTTTTAATTATAAATACAAAATGTTCATTGGAAAATATGGTGCTAGTGACTTGATGGGATTTCATGCATTCTATTCTCTTACTTTTGGTCTTTGCTATGTATTAATTATAATATTATCTAGTGTTTGTCTGGTAAAGCATATGATTATGGATTGTGATTATAGATTATGATAATAGATTGTGAACAATCTATACCCTATAGCTTAAATAAACTAAAAGGGGTTGTACACTCCATAATCCATTATCTTTGCCAATCATGTAGAAAGTTGATTATTCAATATTCAATCTATAATCCAATTATCTAATTAATTAAGCTTTACCAAACACCCATTATTATGGTATACCCATTTCTTTTGTAATTATAATTTACTCGTGTGAAGAGTAAATTCTTTTTCTGCTGTGAATAGGTGAAAGTTTGTGATATATGTGGGGATGCAGGTCGAGAGGATTTACTTGCCATATGTTGTAGATGTACTGATGGGGCTGAACATACGTAAGTCTTCCTATAATACATTAATACCCCATATTATTTGTAGGCTTTATTGGTGGAAAAAATCTGAAGCATTTTGCCTTGTGACTTTATATTTAAACCTTTTAATTTTGGCAATTTCATACCAAATTGGAAACTTTTGTGCAATTTAATCTAATTTTACCATTTGATTTAAAAAACCCTGACTCAGTCTGATTCTTTTGACTTGTCAATAGTTGGCAATAGATTAGTACCTCCTCTTTGGCTATCTATGAAGCACTGGGTCTGGATTTTTCTAGGTCAGAAAGTAAACTTGGATAAATTTGCACAAAAGTTTCTAATTTGGTATGAAATTCCAAATTTAAAGGGTTTGGATATAATTGTCATAGGACACAAAGGTTTGGAATATTCACAGGCCACTGTTGGTATTAATTTTTTTTTTTCTCATTATTAGTAAATTCAATAAAAACTCAGAACTTTTGTTCTTATAATAGTTATTGCATGCGAGAAATGCTTGAGAAAGTTCCAGAGGGTGATTGGCTATGTGAAGAATGCAAATCTGAGAAGGAAATTGAAAATCAAAAGCAATATAAAACTGGCAGGGCTGGTGGAAATGAAAATGGTTATTCTTCTGGACAAACAGCTATTACTAATTCTGAGCACCATGAGACAGAAACTAAAGCTTCTGATTTTGTTGGAGGCACAGCTGTTAAAGAATGCTCTCAGGGAAAAGTATCTAGCACAAGGATTACATACGATAGTGAAGCTATTTCTGCTGCAAAGAAGCAAGTTCTTGAACCGCTTTCAGGCTCACCAAAGGCAGAAAGTCCCAATCGGGTTCCTATGCTCTCTCGTGAAAGTTCATTTAAGAACTTGGAGAAAGGAAAAGTGAAATCTGTACATCAGTTTGGTGTGGTTAATGACTCTTCAGCTTCAGGTCCCCGGATGCAAACTTCTCGAGGTAATAATGTTGTTCTGGTTGTATATTCTTTATGCAAGTGTTTCAAAGCCACATTATGAGAATCTTGAGAATTTGATGTTCTTTGGGCTCTGTGAAATCTATTAAGTGGGATTTGTACTTCTGTAGGTACTTTCTCAAAGTCCAATTCATTCAGTTCCCTAATAGCCAAGCCAAAAGTCAAACTTGTGGATGAAGTTTTTCCTGCAAAGCAGAAATTGTCGAGGGAAACTGCTTTTATTGAATCAAAAGAGGTAGCTGTTAGATCAATGGGCAAATCTATGTCCTTCAAGCCGACAACCGCAAGCCGTTCTAACTGCACTGAATCAAAAGTGAAGATGTTCTCTCCCAAGTTTTCTCATGATCAGGATGTAAAATGGTTAAGACATAAAAAAGACCGAAGTTCCTTTGACAGGAAGAATTCTCTAAGATCAGACCGCTTGGCTGGTGGTGCCATTTCTTCTCCCAAAAGTGATAATAAACCAACACCTCGTGGTGAACCTTCCTCACTATCTTCCCTGAACACTAATAGAGACTACCGGGCTTTGACTTCTGACAACAAACCAGTGACCATCTCAAATTCAACAAGTGGGGTTGCTCGTAAGGATCATGAATATCTTCACCTTTTATAGTACTTTGACTCATAATGTGGCATGCTATATAATCTGCTTGATTATATTTAATGCATATCTTTAATGATTTAATGTTTTTCTTCATCCATATCAGGCGAAGTTTTGAAGCAGGCATCAGTTGATGGAGTTTCATCTGCCAATAGAGTTAGCAGTTCTGAAGAAAATCCTAGTCAGGCAATTCCAAAGGAGGATTCCTCATCCAGTTCTTGTGTTGCTGAGAGACCATCATGGAGTTCTAATGAAGTTCTACCAGATGGGTTGTCTCAGTCCAAGGAATCAAAAGCTTTTGGTGACAAGACAAGGGAAAGTTCTGCAAGTCGGTCAAAACAGAACAGCACTGCCAGTGGAAAAATTGTTTCATGTCAGAAATGCAAAGGAAATGGTCATTTAGCACAGGTTTGCACAGCTGACGGACCTGAATCATCTGCTTTAGGTTCACCTTTTAAAAGTTCTAGAGAGGCCACAAATGGTCCAAGTGATTTGAAAGCTGCCATTGAGGCTGCTAGGCTCAGGAAACCTGGAATATGCAGGAAGAATAGAGTTGCTGATCAATCTGAGGACTTATCAGCATCGAACATGAAAAGTGAAATAGCTTCCCAAGATCAGATGCTCTCTTCAACTGTCAGGAGAAATGTTAATGGTGCTGAGGAGGCACAAAAGCAGGAAACTGCAAATAATGCAAAGCAATTAGGAATTATTGCTGAAGCTTCTGCAAGAACCAGAAATGCAGGTCATGTTGTATTTTCTGATGTAAAGCATTCTGTAATTGACATGGAACGTCAGACTCTGGTATCAATGCCCGTTATTCTGAAAACAGCCATTCCAGAGTACCAGTATATATGGCAGTACGAGTGTTAACCTCTTATCTTAATTATATTGTTTTCAAGTGGTTGTTTTTGCATCACTATATGAGTTTTTTTTTTGGTGCTGTTGGTTATTTTTTATGCCATGATTTCTGTGCAGAGGAGGTTTCGAGGTTCAAAAGAGTGGGAAAGCCTTCAATCTCTATGATGGAATTCAGGCCCATTTATCAAGTTGTGCATCTCCTAAGGTTCTTGATGCTGTAAACAAATTCCCTCGAAAGGTCATATTGAATGAAGTACCCCGTTTGAGTAGCTGGCCAATGCAGTTCAAGGAGTGTGGTGTTAGTGAAGATAACGTAGCCCTCTTCTTTTTTGCTAAAGATATAGGGAGGTTGTGTCCTTGGTTCCTAACAAATCCTGCTTCTTTGATTTCTTCTGGTAAGTTTTTTCAACCATCTGCTAACTATCTATTGCCAATGGTGCAGCTATGAGAAGAGCTACAAAGTTTTGCTCGGGGATATGGTGAAGCATGATCTGGCTCTTCAGGGGAACATTGGAGACATTGAACTACTGATATTCCCATCGAACCAGCTTCCTGAAAAATTCCAGCGTAAGGATAATGGAGCATGCTTCTTTCTATTTGACAGGGCACATGATTTTAACTTTAGCATATTTAAATAAGATTAATATTTGATGCACCGCCGGTGTATAAAAGCTATACACCGGCGGTGAAGGAGAAGGTGCCACATCATTAAAAAAAAAAGGGGGTAATATTGACCGGGTCCTTTCTTGCAAAATATTTAGTACTTTCTAAATTATTATGTATTTTATTAGGAAACTCTTTATTTCTAATTAACAAAATCTATCTAATATCTAAACATATTTATTACTTATATAATAATTTAAAGATCCATTCATATAACAAAAATTATCTACCATAAGCATTATTTCTAGAGAATTCCACATCAAACATCTTTCTCTCTCTTTCATTTCTTCTTTCTCACATTTGCGAAAATGGAGTTTGATATGCAATTTTTGTTAGATTATTTCATTTCAAATCTAGCCAAACCTCTATGGCTTTTCATTTTTCAAAAATGTATAATCATCTTAGTGGCAGTGGTTTTGCGGATTTCGATGACGTAGGAGTTATGTAGAAGAAGAATCCATCTGCTTTGTACTTCTACCCAATACATTTCTTCTTCTCCAATACTCCATTTTTTAGAAATCAAAGCTTGACATACAGTTTTTCACTTCCATTGTACAAAGGAAAAAAGGTACTAGAAGTTTCAGTAAACGGAGTAACAAAACAATGAAAACATACATACTTTGTGTGAGATGCAGCCATTGTAAGCTTCTGATCTACACCCAGACAAGATGGAGTGCTGCTTGTGTATATCTTGTTACTCAACACTAGAAAACATAATTGGAGTTGCAAGGAAATTAGGAGAAATAATACTGGAACATGTTTGGTTTTGCTCCTAAAAAAGGGGTATGGTTGATTTGACTAGGCACATTTCTCTAGAAAATCTAAAAGTAGGATTATATTAAAATTTTCAAATCCAAGGGTATTTTGGGAAAAATACTAAGGTAGTAGTGTTTATTTTAGGAATGTGGACAATATTTTGGGACGGATGAAAAAGGAAAGTAAGACATAAAATAAGACGGAGGGAGTATATCTATTTTTTATTGTTGAAATTCTCTGGTAACCTTTTGTTTTTGTTTTTGTTTTTGTTTTAATTTTTTTTGTTTTGGTTTTTTTTTTTTTTTTTTTTTTGTTTTGTTTTTCGTTTTTTCGTTTTTTTGTTTTTTGTAATTTTAGACTCTAAAAGGCTATACTTTTGGATATAAAGTGAAAAAAGTTAAGTTGACTGTTTAACTTGATTTATGAGTTTTTGCGTCTTATTGTAGAATTTAATTGCATATGCACAACTGCCAATTGAGACAAATGAAAAGAACTCATTTTGATGAGAACTATTGAGACATAAGGAATGTGGCTAGTTTTATGTTTCATCGTCTTATATATATTTTACTATTAGAATTTGTTTTGTAGTTTGCAAATTTGATTTTATACATTATTATTGGATATTGTTGTGTGGAGTATTACATTCTGACTTTTTAATAAGTATTAAGATACGATTTGAGTAAGTATTAATTTTCTCCATTAATCTTAAATCATCATTAGAGTATTCCATGATCCCGTCATTATTATGTGATTACACTAATTTAATATTAATTAAGAGAATTAAACAGAATAATGCATGCTTCATTATTTTACTAGAACTACTTACTAGTTTTTTACTAATCGAAAATTGTGCTTCTGGTTTGAGAATGCTAATTAATTCATGCATGTTTCACTCATTGTACTAGAAATAATGCTTCAGGTAGATAATATTTTGTTATATGAATGGATGTTTAAATTATTATATAAGTAATAAATATGTTTAGGAAATTAGATAAGATAATAAGTAATAAATATGTTTAGAAAATTAGATATATTTTGTTAAATAGAAATAAAGAGTTTCCTAATAAAATACACAATAATTTAGAAAGTAATAAATATTTTGCAAGAAAGGACCCGGTCTATATTGACCTTTTTTTAATGATGTGGCATCTTCTCCTTCACCAACGGTGTATAGCATATATACATCGGCGGTGCATCAAATATTAATCCATTTAAATAAGCCATACCATGTTCAACATGCTTTCTGCTACTGAATACCTGTTTAGGAAATATGTACTTTTTTGAGGTTAATGCAATTTGAAGACTTTGATTCACACTATTCTTTTGGTCGCTATGATGATTCTGATGCGGAATCATTCTAATTAGCTTAATCAGATGCTTTTCCACTTTGAGAATTAATAAGAGTATGGGAGTATAATATTATTTCATATGTGAACTTTTTCTTCTTGTGTAGTTTGGTAAACTGGTATTTTTAATTGACCAAAGCCCCTGCATCTGTGGTTATTATTCTTTTAGCTGGTTAATCTCAAATATTAATTTTTTTCTTTGTTACTTTTGTGTATGCAGGGTGGAATTTGATGTTCTTCCTGTGGGGCGTGTTCAGAGGGAAGAGAGCAAATAGTTTGCAAAATTTTCCTGGAGCTGAGAAGCCATTGATTCAAGATATCCCCACACCTGCCACTTCTTTGCCAGAGAATATGTTCACCCCTGTGCCTAAACTGAATTCTGCGCGTGGTAGTGCGGCAACTAATACTGAAATGTCTGCTGTAAAAGAGTCAGAATCTGCATCTTTACATAAAATTGTAAATGGAAATTGCAGTATCCAATCCTCTTCCCAAGTGAGTAGAGATAAGTGTTCTCGTATAAACGCTGAGCAGAATGATAAACTGGATTCCAGTTCTATGCAAAATAGTGAACCAAAGTTGGGGCCGGATAGGAGATACTTTGGTGTTCCCCTGGTAATATACTACGGAGTAATATTTTACTCCATATATCTGTCATTCTTGCATGTTGCACTTAGTGATTAACTACAATTCCTTTCCAATTCAACATAATTCTATCCAGGAATAAATTCTTTGCCATTCTCTGGCTTTATTGTTCTGATAGATTTCCATGAAGTGCAAAAGTTTAGCCCATAATTGTCTTTATGTGTATTGTTAAGGGGGGAACAATGAAAATAATTAAATGGAATTTGATAAAGCCTACAAAGTCATGATTCTTGTTCAAATGAGGGGCATGCCCTCAGCTGTAGGTACTTAATTCTTGTCGATTATGCTGTAGTCTTATTCTTTCAGTTTTTTGGGAATTAGTGCTCCTTCCTGCCACTTTGCTTACGTACTAAGACAGTTGTTTTCCTTTGTTCTTGAAGGGAGAAGCAGTGCACTCTTCTGTTCAAACTGCTGAAAGAGTCAGCAGTCCTAATACGAGCCGTCCTATGTCTGTCCATTGGGCTGCTCCACTTGACGGAGAGAAGCTATCAATGTTATCTGATGAAACTCCAACTATGCAGGAGGCAACTTCTGTTGGAAGCACAACAAAGAATTTGTGTGGCAAAGATGATGTGAAAATTGGACGTATCTGCTTGGACAATGTATCTACTGAGGAAGCAACTCCTTTGGCAAGGCATACGAGTATGGAGCAGACCTTGAATGTGATCAGTAGTTTTGGTGTGAACCCCAAGAAACGGTCACATTCTGCAGAGACTGTGCTGCAATCTGCATCATCCTCTGGAACGAGTCAAGCGTTTTCAAGTTACAGTAATGATGACATCTTGGTTGAAGAATTCTGCCACAAAAGAGTGAAGCTCAATTCTGATCGATCTTATGGATGTAATGATCAAACTAGTTGCTCAAAGGATGGGTTCTTGTCAGAGATGGGCGGTACAGCTTCTCAACTTTCTCGCCAGAAGAATGAACGGGATGAAGCTTTGAGCAAGACAGCTATCTTGGAAACTCCAGGAAATGCTGAGATGTTTTTCTTCCCAGTTGATCCACATCCTGTGGGTAATATTGGTTCCAATAATAGCTCGATGCCATGGAAAGTGCATCCTTTGGAGGAAGATCAACTCCATGACAAAGCACCAAATCTTGAACTTGCTTTGGGAGCTAAAACAAAACCTCTGATGTCCGGGATCCCATCCTTTTTATCTGGGAAAGTCGAAAAGAAAATAATTGAGGAGAATACCTCAGATAATGCAGCAACAAGTGCCAACAAGGAGGATGTTTCTGCTTCTCTTTCACTCTCTCTCTCATTTCCTTTCCCGGAAAAGGAGCATGGTACTTCTTCAAAGCCTGAGCAGGAAGATCCCAGAAGAAGGCAAGCCAATACATCACTGCTCCTTTTTGGGCGGCCTGAGGGATAAATAGGGAGAAGAACCAATAAACGATGTACATTATAGCTAGTCCTAATGGATTTGTTAGGTTCACAAGATGTTCATAAGTTTACAGGATCTCTGTCTTTTGTTGTTTCTGCTTTCTCTTATACTCATAGTTTGACAGTGCCATAGTTAATCAGTCACGGCTGATTGTATATAAAGAGGATATTTAGCCATAACGGCCTCTGGCAGCATAGAACGAAAGGTTTTTTTTTTTTGTTTTTGTTTTTTTGTTTTTGTTTTTTTTTTTTTTATTATTATAAATATAAATATAAATGTTGGTCAGAAGTTTTTGTTCATTGCAGTGTCATTGCCCCTTAAGATGGTTCTCGTGTATGTTTCAATCTTTATACATTTTTGCTTCGTTACCATAAATGTATATTTACTTCTAATCTCACTAGGTAACTTATATTTTACATTCTTATACTATATTTCATTTGGTTAGGGGTGTGCAATACATGTCCAGCCCGACAAACTCGCCTGACTCGGAACCCGCCAAGCATAACTTGGTGGATATCCGAATTTGAAGGGGAAAATTGCGTTCATTTATATGCCGGATAGTATAAAATCGGGTAGGGTTTGACAAATATTCACCCGACCCGTCCAAATTTGTACGTGAGTCACTCATTAAACCCTAATTTTTGGGGCTTTCCATATACATGATGTAAAACTCTGATATATGGTTTTATGTTTATGGTAGGTAATAGGACCCTTAAAATTCGTACATAATGTATTTATGGATTGTCTAATGTAAATATGTACTGGTGAAAACCTATTGTGTGTGTTTAGTTGTTGAATGTTGAGCCCTAATTTTTTGGGCATTTCCATATTTATATTATTCTATATGAATGTTGGACACTGGACTGTTGGATTATTCATGTATTTTATGTGTCTGTGATTGTATGAGTCCTAAATTTTGGGAAATTCCATATAGATGATGATTTGATGATTCATTTCTGATTATGGAATTTATGGTGGAAGCCTAATCTACTTATGTATGTATATTGTATGTCTGTATGATGAATATGGAAAGAGATAATTGATTGAATAACAGAAACAGATTACAATTAATACTCTCAGGAGAGAGAACTAACTAATAGCCACTAGACTAGGACTAATCTAGAATACATCAAATAATAACAATATTAATAATAATAATAAAACCATAGTCTATCACTCCCCCTCAAGCGCAAGGTGGGTGATTCACCACATTGAGCTTGGAACGAAGAACACCAAAACGCGCAGCCGGTAGCGGTTTTGTAAAAATATCAGCAAGCTGGTCCTTGGTGGAGACGAAGTGAACCCGAAACTCGCCAGACGAAACTTTGTCTCAGACGAAGTGGTAGTCTACCTCGACATGCTTAGTGCGCGCATGAAAGACTGGGTTGGCACATAAGTATGTCGCTCCAAGATTGTCACACCAAAGAGTCGGTGGCGTGGCGGAGTTGAGGCCTAACTCACGAAGTAAAGACAGAACCCATGTAACCTCGGCGCAGACGTCTCCTAAGCCTTTATATTCGGCCTCAGTTGACGAACGAGCCACTGTACGCTGTTTCCTAGAGACCCATGAGACAAGATTGGTACATATGAAGACAGCATAACCACTAGTAGAGTTACGATCCACAGGACACCCGGCCCAGTCAGAATCCGAGTAGGCATGTATTTCCGAGGTCCTGGATGGTGAGATGCGTAGCCCGTAGTCTAGAGTCCCCTTTATATAGCGGAGAACTCGCTTAAGTAAACCCCAATGCTCCTGTGTGGGATTGTGCATAAACTGGCACAGTCGGTTGACCGCATAGGATATATCCGGTCGAGTGATGGAAAGATACTGAAGTGCCCCCGCTAGCAAAAGGTTCATCGGACTGGCTCACTGGTTGAGTAATGGACGCTGGTGTGGCTAGCGGCTTGCAGTCAGTCATGCCTGCTCGTTGCAGAATGTCTCGCATGTACCGCCGTTGTGTGAGAATCATACCATCTGGAACTGTGATGGTTTCTATGCCAAGAAAGAATGTTGGTGCCCCGAGATCCCGGATTTTAAACGCCGTAGCTAATCGCTGTAGTAGGGAATCAACTAAGGTGGCATCATTTCCGAGCATGATGATGTCGTCTACATACACAAGCAGAAAGACACGAGAATCTGCAGCCGAATAATGAAACAGAGATACATCTGTTTTGGAGGCAATAAACCTTGTTACAAGTAAGAAATCATGCAGACGATGAAACCAGGCCCGAGGGGCCTGTTTAAGCCCGTATAAGGAACGTTGCAAGTGGCAGACATGATCGGGATGATCAGGGTCTTCATACCCTGGTGGTTGGCGCATGTAGACAGTTTCCGACAAGTGTCCATTCAAGAAGGCGTTGTGGACATCCAGCTGACGGAGTGTCCACCCGCGAGATATGGCAAATGACACTAATATCCGAACTGTGGTCGGTTTGACCACAGGACTAAATGTCTCAAAAAAGTCCTCGCCTGCAACTTGGTTAAAACCCTTGGCCACCAGTCTTGCCTTGTAGCGCTCAACCGAACCATCGGCTTTGCGCTTAGTGCGAAACACCCATTTGCACCCCACAATGTTCATGTTCGGTGTAGCAGGAACCAGCTGCCACGTGTTGTTATGAAGTAACGCATTGAACTCTTGGTCCATAACGTCTCGCCACTGTGGATGCCCAACTGCTTGGGAGTAGCAAGTCGGGTCCGCAGTTGAAGCTGTGAGTACATGCAGTTGTTCACCAGTCCCTTTAGTCATACGCCGTAGCCGCATGACGTGGGCCCGCTCCAGGGGCCGAGCCCGTGGTCCCCTTTTCCTTGTTGCACGAGCCGGTGCACGAGGAACAAGTGGTGCTGGTACACTCGGTGGTGCTGATATGGTACCACTACCATTTTGGAGAACGGGACTAGAGCCCCATGGTACATTTTGGATGTCAGGCGGCACTTCCCAAATTTCAAGACTAGTTTCTGCAAAAGGAAAAACGGATTCGTCAAAGTGGACGTGACGACAAGTATAGGTTTTCCCGGTGTCTAGGCTCATGCAGCGGTAACCCCTAAAGGACGGTGGATAACCTAAGAAGACACAGGGACTTGACCGATACTCGATTTTATGGCGATTATATGGACGGAGATAAGGAAAACAAAGGCACCCAAACACACATAGATATGTGTACGTGGGCGGGGCCTTGTAAAGGCGATAATAGGGTGTATCAAACAGGAGTGGAGCAGACGGGAGTCGATTGATTAGGAAGGTGGCTGTTTCAAACGCGTGATCCCAATAACGTTGTGGGACAGACGCTTGTGCCATTAGTGCCAAACCGGTCTCGATAATATGCCGATGCCGGCGTTCCACACGGCCATTTTGCTCCTGTGTATAGGCGCACGATTGCATGTGGACAATCCCTAATTTGGAGAAAAGTTTGTGTAATTTTTGGTATTCCCCTCCCAAGTCGGACTGGATGGACTTGATAGAACACGAAAAAGTGCGTTCTACCGTCGCCCGAAAAACATCAAAGATTTTATATATGTCGGTTTTAAGACATAGAGGATAATACCAACAGTAGCGGGTGTTATCGTCTACGAATAGTACAAAATAACGGGAGCCATCTGCAGAAATAACTGGTGCGGGGCCCCATATATCAGTGAAAATTAAATCGGGTACATTATTACTTGACTTGACTACCCTATCTAAGGGAAATCGGGCAGATTTGCCAAGTTGACACGGAGAACATAATTTGGGAACAGCAACTTTATTTGACTCAATGGGGCATTCTCGCAAAACACGATGAAGCGCTTGACTGTGTGGGTGACCGAGACGCTGATGCCAGACCGTGGAAGTGGCACGAGCCGAAACAAACGCATAACGGGCACTAGGAACTGACAGCGAATACAAGCCCCCCGAGCTTGGCCCTTTAAGCAAAACCGCTTGAGTGATGCAGTCCTTCACAACAGAAAACGTGGGGTGAAACTCAAAATAGCAGTTATTATCTCTAGTAAAACGGTTAACAGATAATAACGATGCAGACAGTTCAGGGACATGTAAAATATTAGACACTTTTAAAGCTCTATTAACAGACGGAATTTCTGCATGACCCACACGCGAGATGGCCAAACCTGTGCCATCGCCCACTCGCAAAACGTCGTCACCGTGATACTCCTCGGATTGCGTGAGCATGCTGGAATCGGGGGTAGCATGCATTGAAGCTCCCGTGTCCGGCAGCCAGGTTGTCACCGAGGGCGAGGATGCCGGCGCTGATCCGCCACCTGTGACTGCTACATGGGCAGTCGGCGGCGGTTCGGAGTACCGCTGGTAGCAAAACGCGGCGGAGTGCCCCTGCTTGCTGCATATCTGGCAGCTCACCCCGCCTGACCGGCCACGGCCTCCTCTGCCACCACGCTGGTTGCCGCGTCCTCCGCCACCACGCGACTGCCGGCCGCCATCTCCATGCTGACGACGACCACGACCGGCGTACATCGCCGATGGAGATCTGGTCGCTGCTGCCGGTGTTTGTGTCGGGAAATCATCCTCGTGGATGAATTGTTGGGCCTGGAGAAAATCCGCCAACTGCGGAATGGATACGGGCGTGCCGTTGATCGCCAGCGCAGAGGCCATCGACCTGAACTCCGGCCTTAATCCTCGGAAGACATACAAATTCTGCTCCGACGGCGTGAGAGTCCTCCCGGCAAGTGCGAGGTCTTGAACAAGATGTTGCGCCCTGCCTAGATATTCGGAGGTGGAGCTGTCTCCTTGGCGAAGGGATTGGATCTGCCCAAGCAGATTGAGACAACGAACCTGCGTGGATGACCCCAAAGCCGTCTCTGCCGCCGTCCATACACCACGAGCGGTGGTTTGTCCAAGAGCTAGATACATCACCTCCTCAGACAGGGAAGAGATCAAAAGGGAGAGGATGGATGCATCTTGTTGCACCCAGGCCGCATAGGCCGGATTCTCTGTGGTGGAGATGGTGTCACTGGAGTTGTCGCCGGCGGGAACCTCCAAGAACGGTGATGGCTGCGATCGCGTACCATCTACAAAGCTTAGCAAACCTTGACCCCGGAGAAACGGGATCACCTGAGTCCGCCAGTACAAGTAGTTCCGATGCGTGAGCTTGAGTGACACGAAGTGATGCGCGCTCGTTAGGGTGTTGGAAGAATTATTTGGGGAGGAGATGGTGGTCACGGTACGCTCAGAGCTACTTGACATTGTCGACGGGAAAAAAAAATTGCGTG